TGAAAAAATTATTCCTTTCCTTTATCGAGTCGTTTAGATTTGGAAGGTTTAGCCTTGAGTTAAGATCAAGCAGAACTTTAATTAAAGGCTTACCTTGTGAATACGTCGAATATACGTTGTGAGGACGCAGAGTAAATTTTACCGTTTTATTGATATAATACAGGGTTGATCAGGAGGATTATTGAAGAATAACGAGAAGAAACCGCTTGCCCGTGAGTCAAAGGCTGTTATAAGAATACTATAGAAGAGCACTAGTCCAGACCAAACCTTTATACAAAAAAAGGGATATATATATAAAGAAGTAGGAGTGGTTTACATAAAACGTTAGAGGGTATTCCTTGAGATACAAAGGAAACGGTAAAAATGTGTATTTCCGTTAGACAAAGATAACAAAGAAACGTATGGGAGATAATTTTGAGGAATGTGATTTGGTGAATAATGCAGTGATGAATCATTAGAAATGTTCCAAGCATTTAATGTATGATAAATTCTCACGGGTTTTCCGACACTCCCTACTGAAGAAAAAAGAAAGGAAGTTTTAGGGATATATTTGAAGATATCTATTTGATTGAATTTAATTGTAATGATAAATTTTGGGATTGTTCATCCTTTAAAGTAGGTACTAGTTCTGCTTCAGTAGGACTTGCCTTTCGTTGCGCTCGTTTGAAACATTTGAAAACTATACAGATTAGCTTCAATTTTAGATTAACAATAACAAGAATTGACATGAGAATAAAAGTAGAAATACAAAAGCTAACGAGCTTCCAGTTCGTTGTAAGATTATTCAATTCTTGTATGAATTCCGAGCTCTTATCAGTTCCATATTTAAATCGGATTGATAACTCATCGCTTTCTTGATTGATCTCATCCACAAGGCTCCATGTTGGTCGAGCGTATTGACCATTACGAAATTGTTGTTGTTGTGATAGGATTTCTAATTCGGCCGTTATTTTTTCAATTTTGAATTGATCGATTATACAGCTGATCAATTTAGTTAATTTGGGAACATCGAATTTTAGTTTACAAGGAGCTATGAACAAAGTTCTATTAATCCCTTTTACCATTATATTATCCCCTGGTAATATCAGGTTACCTGCTAAAGTAACGTGTATCAGTAATGAAAAAGTAATGGTAACCATTAACGTTATTGAACTTGCCCTTTGTACCATACTTGTTTGCAGTAGTTTCTGTTTTCTTTCCGCTCCTCGAGTACGCATTGCTATTGGTCCGTCATCAGTTTCATCCTTTGAATTTGTTGTTCGAACTTCGTCACTATCTTCTTCATTCACTTCCATAGGATAAAG